TTATCTTTCGTATTGGACCTAGTCAAATTCCCATCACATACGACCCCACGCTAACCATGGAGTGCGTGTCTCATCATCATAATAGCGTCACAATGTGATATACCGGGGTTTCGAACCCTTAGGTAATCATCTACACCTATTACTCACCTCAAACCGACTGGAAAACAAGCCCGAAACGTTTTTTCCCTTTGAACTCTCCTCCACAAGCGACGAATCTGCCCAAAATCACAACGAATACATTATATGATGCTAATGGAACATAACCCAATCGAAAGAACTCGAAAAATATTGAAATTCTCGAAAATGACAAAACCCGAGCCCCGGGCCCACGTCTCGAAATCCAGAAATTTTCACATCACAATGACCCTCGTCTCACCCCGAGTCTATACATACCAATTTCATCAAAATCGGAGTCCATTTGACCCCTCAAATCCTCAATTAAAGTCTTGTGGGTTTCAAGCCCTAACCTCCATTTTTAGCTTCAAAAATCTTGATTTCTAGGTGTTTAATTCATGATTTAGCACCATAATCACATGATAGAAGTCTATTATAACATACCTGATGAATCCCCTCAATTTGCTCTCCAAAAATCGCCCAAATATCGCATTGACCAACCTCTCTCTTCACCCTTTCTAAATAAGTGTTTTAACACTCTAAAAATCATAAAACCAGCCGGACTTTCGCATATGCGGTCCAATTTTCGCATAGGCGGTTCTGCATAGGCGACCATTTTTCCGCTTCTGCGGTTTCCTTCAAAATCCCCAGTGGCCGCTTCTGCGGTCAATTGACCGCTTAGGCGGTCCCGCTCCTGCGACCTCTTGTCCGCTTATGCGGACTCCGCTTATGCGGTCCCTTATCCGCATAAGCGGTTCCTGACGAAATCCTCCTCGACCGCTTCTGCAGTCCAAATTGCGCATAGGCGGAACCGCTTAGGCGGCTACAGTTCCGGTTAGGCGGAAATACCAGAAGCAGCATGCAAAAATTTCAAAAATTCTCCATTAATCATCCGATTTTACCCCGAGGCCCCCGGGACCTCAACCAAAAACACAAACTCATCCTAATACTTCATTCAAACTTGCTCGGATCATAAAAACGCTACCTTAAACATCAAAAATCTCCAGAATCCTAAGATTCAATCCAAACTTTAACTTAAACTTTCAAAATGCGTATCCGATCAAAAATCCGACTTAAACATATCCGAATCAACTGAAAATTTGCACGCAAGTCCGAAATCACCTAACGCAGCTAATGCAACTGTCGAAATTTCATTCCGACCCCCGGATCAAATTCTCACCTATCGACCGGATTCTTCCAAAATTCCAACTTCGGCAAACTTAGCTAACTTTCACACCGGACCTCCGAATTCACTTCCGTTTTCACTCCTAAGTCACAAATCATCCCCCGGAACTAGTCGAGCGATCGAAAATCCGTTCTAAGACTTCTAACCCATAAGTCAACGTTGGGTTGACTCTTCCAACTTAAGCTTTTCTTATAGAGACTAATTGTCTCATTTCTATCCAGTTTCCACTAAAACCACTTCAAACTCACCCAACGCGTATATTAACATACGGGGAAATATTTTACGGGGGGTAACGGGACTGAAATGCAATAATTGACGGGTCGGGTCATTACAACAATGCTAAAAGTCATAACCAACAATGAAAAACAGGAAGAGGAAGGAAAAAACTTGTAGAAGAATTCTCAAGTCTTGCTCCTATTGTATCTCTGCCTCCTTAGGTCAAATCTATGTCAAAAATATGTTCAACCCTTCAAAATAGCGTTTTTACATGTATTTATACCAAGTAGGGTCGGGCCCGGACGAAAATATCCCTTTTCTGTGCGAAATAGGACATCTCTCTGTAAAATTTGCATTGTCACGCCGCATGGTGCGGCGTCCCCATGCGGCGTGATAGTGGACTTTTTCTGCGACCTTGTCTTTTGGCTTCCAGGGGCATATTGCACTGTCACGCCGCGCCCATGCGGCGCCCCATGCGGCGTGACAGTGTAAATTTCTCAGAGCTATTTTATTTTGTCTTCGTTTAACATCCTGACTTGGCACACGATCCCGAACATGATCCCGGCTTAATTGCTTGAGCTTTTACTCAGACTTCAAAGCTTCAAATAATTTAAATTCATTCCATAACATCTATGTAGCTCGGAATCACACCTACAAGGCATAAAGCACACAATTAGCGCAAAATATTAGCGATTAAAGCTCAAACTCAATTAAAGTGCAGTAAACTCAAGTATAATAAGCGACTAAAATACGCAATTATAGCCTATCATCAGAACTAATTCTTATGACCTAATTGCGTATGTGCAGAAGATGCATATTCTTCACATGTTATACTGGAAGGTTCTTTTGTTTCCTGTTTTGATTTCAATTTGAAGGATGTCTTTGTTGCACATTATGAACAGAAAGACAAGTTAATACTTTAAATTGGATTATTAAAGTAGTACCTTAAAATATTTACGGAATAGTTAGCCTAGCACGGGCTTTTTCTTCTCTGGTAAAACTCATAAATTGATTGTTTTGGTTTGTGGGAATAGGATCGGGTGTATACACGAGTTGTGATTTACATCATCCAAATAAATATATGACATATGTTTGCTAATAAACTATTGTAACTTAATCATGATTAATTAAGACATATTTTCACCCTATTAAATCATTTAACCATAGTAAGTTAATATAATTTGATATAAACATCAGATATAGCCTGTATCGTACTGTTGATTTTGGTTAAGATATTTATTCCTTTTTGTTATCAATTTCTGAATGGGAAGTAGTAATACGTTACGTGGCTCATTTTTTTTAATTTTTTTATAAAAGAACTACGACGTCCTGTCCTATATCAAAAGTTTATAATTGTAATTTTAACAGTTTATTTTTTCATTTTATGGAATCACATTTCAAGACTTTACCCACAAAACCTAATGATTCCAAAATAAAAATGATATTTGCTCCTCCAATCAGAAATGAATTAGTTTTTCTTTTTAATCTCAATTTATCTAACAAAAAAATAGCAGGCAAATAATCTTTCATCCTCGAGGATCAATAGAATTGAATTTGTTTCTACATTGTCTTATAATTTGTTAGGGAGAGTTTTATCCTTCCATGTGGGCAGTGGCGGAGCCACCCTTGTCCGGGGGGTGTCAATGGACACCCCTTCGCCGGAAAATAACACTGTGTAGATAGGTATTTTAGGTATTTTTTCTTAAAAATTGAATATTTAAAAGGGGTTGACACCCCTTGACACAAGACAAACTCTTAGTGCAATGGTTAAGGGGTGTTAAAAATTATAGAAGGTTACAAGTTCTATTCCTCATAGTGGCAATTTTTTTTTATTTTGACACCCCTTTGTATAATTCTTCGCTCCGCCACTGCATGTGGGACTTCCCGGCGCACATTCCAAATTTAGTCAGGCCTCAATGCGGGTACTGAATATTGAGTGGGAAACAAAAAAAAAGACATAGTGCTAGTATTTAAAGTTGGAATGAAAATAATCTCATGATTTTTTTCCTTCATTACTAATATTTAGAAGCGAGAGTTTGAAGAGGACGAACACGACGAACACTGTTGCAATTTTATGTACAAAAAATATAGTTATCTAAATTATACTTCAATATTTGGGCCTATTAGTTGGCTTAGGGAGAAATTCAAAATTAGCCAGATTTACCGCCGGTCATTAAAAAATAGCCACGTTTCAAAAGTCATCGAAATATAGCCACTTTTTATGTAAAGGTAAATCTGAGCGAAATCACTGTTCAAAATCCGGAAAAATACTCCAGTCTATTACACTGGAGTTCCGACACAAGTATGCTTGAACTCCAGCATATTATACTAGAGTTCCAATATAGCATAAGTGGAACTCCAGCATATTATGATGGAGTTCCAGCATAAGTGGAACTCCAGCATATTATGATGGAGTTCCAGCATAAGTGGAACTCCATCATATTATGATGGAGTTCCAGCATAAATACACTACAACTCCATCATAATATGATGGAGTTCCAGCATAATTATGATGGAGTTCCAGCATAAATACACTACAACTCCATCATAATATGATGGAGTTCCAGCATAATTATGATGGAGTTCCAGCATAAATACACTACAACTCCATCATAATATAATGGAGTTCCAGCAAGTATAATTGTCCAGTATAATATACTGGAGTTTGGAGCACTGGGGCTCTAGTCTCGCGTAAATTTTACGGGAGTTCCAACAAGTATAATTGTCCAGTATAATATACTAGAGTTTGGAGCACTAGTGCTCCAGTCTCCCGTAAATTTTACAGGAGTTAGTAAAGTATACCGGTCCAGTATAATATGCTGGAGTTCGTACAAATATGCACTAGAACTCCCGTATATTATACGGGACCGGTCCTGTTGCAGCAAAATAGTGGCTATTTTTCATTGACTTTGTAAACGGTGGCTATTTTTCGATAGCCAGTCGTAAAAGTGGCTACTCCGTAATATTTTAACGTTGGCTTTTGCTCTTTGTGGGCCTATTGAACACCTGTAGGCTCTCCATCAAATTACTTGTGTGCCACATTCTTTACTATTGTACGACTATATTTCTTACTCCTCAAAAGTTGAACTTCGACTGCTTCACAATTCTCAGGTGAGTTTCTCAATTTTTGTTTGTTGCAAAAATTCCCTTTTCTCCTTTACTCTTTTAACGCCAGATCTTTTTAATTTTTCTTTGATATGATCTAATTTTTCCATGATATGGCATGTGATGTGGTCTAATAATTAACATTTTGCACATGCATTATATTTGATTAATTTTGTCTTTGTTACCAACTAATTAGTGCAAAACTAGCCAGAAAGTCTAAGGTATAGTCACAAGGTGGTTGATGATATGTCTGATAGTGGTAATCTGGACTTTTACCATAGTTATGCCTACCACTGCATTTGGTAAAAAAGTTTTTCCTTCTTTTTTTGAGTTTAGATTCCTGCTTTGTCCTCCTCTGTTTCAATAAAAGAGCATTCACTAATGTAATAGTCATATAGTTCAATTTACAGAAATCAATTTATATAGCATCAACTCACATTATTCACTCTTGAATTGCATAATACTTTATAATTAAGATAGTATTTTTAGGCATTGCATCGCCGCTCATAGGGATAAGGTATTCGTGGCGGTATAACAACTGGAACATATTTGCATGAACTACAAATCCAGCCATCAGAACGATCACTGTCAGTATCACAATTTCTGTCACAAGTTATGAAATCTCTAAGTGGAAGTAATTTATTTTTCATCATCAATTCATCTTGAGGCAAATCTCGTAACGCCATCACTTGCAGATCTGAAAGAAACGTAAAACAAATATTGTAACAAGTGAGGCTTGCTCAGTTGGTAAAAACACCTCTACCTATAACCGTTTAGGTCCTAGGTTCGAGCCACGCTGGAAGGGAAATGTAGAAACACTATAGATTTAAAAAAAAGAGATAATAAGCTTTTAAAGGAGTGCATATAATATTAGGCAATTTTTTTTTTTTTTTTTTTTTTTGGAAAATAAAGGAGTGCATATAATATTAGGCAAATTCAATATTGAAAATAGAGTGAAAAGTAAAGTCTTGTTTAAGAAAGAGCATAAGTTCACTTGGTAACTACTAAAAAAATCAGGTTTTAGCGACGGACAAAATCTGTAGCTAAACAGAAAAATCCATTGCTAATCTCATTTAGCGACGGATTAGCGATAGATTATCAAAAGATTTTGCTAGCTACGAGTATTTTAGCGACAGTATAGAGACGATGTTCGTAGCTAATTCCAAATTTTTTTTTTGTAGTACATGACCTTTTGATCTCAATCTACCATAGCACGAGGGCCAAATTCATGAAGTCATCTTTGTCAAGTCAGTCGACTTGTAGTGGGGAAGCCAGAATTTCCTCAAAGGTGTTTAAACTTGAAAGAAGTAAACGAAATTCTTCGAAAAATAATGGTATTCAATATATGTCATATACCTTTAAAACCTAATAATGATGGTCGATTTGACCATCCCTTAATACATGTAACTTCGTCCCTGCCGACTTGAGAGGTGGGAAAAAAAATGGTGTTGGATGCTAATTGTGTTTATCCACAAAAGCTACTTAACAAAACAAAAATTAAAGTAATCGAAAAAGTTGGAAATATAACCTGCCATAACCATGAAAATAGTGGTGAAGAAGACAATGTTTTAGCAATGACAATTTCCCAGCCATGTTGAAACTTCTTCAATTGACTTAACTGCAGATAGGACTCTATTTATAAACAATATTCTGACATGAACTATTCATAAACATGTATCACATTTACATTATGTTATATTTTTTCTGATATTATATTAATTCTTTTTGCTGATTGCAAATTGAATTGTGTGTATACACGAGTTATGAATTCTGAATAATTTCTATTAACCTCACCTACCGCAGGGTAAATACTTACATATATACAGGGTAAATAATACATGTAACTCACTATGATTAATTAATTTAATTAGATGAGAATGCATATAATTTACCATAATTAAATGATTGAAGTTCATATGCAAGATACATGTCATATATCTATTGGTTTAGTGTAAACACCCGATGCGGGTAAATTTTTACCCTTCCGCAGGCGCATTAGTAAATAGTAAAAGATAAAAACTTATTCGTATAGTGTATTTACACCAAACAATACTAACAAAAATATGTTGTTAAGTGCAGTAAAAACTTCCCACACCGATGTTTGCATCATACATCCAAATAAATATATGACATATGTTTGCTAATAAACTATTATAACTTAATCATGATTAATTAATTCGTATTTTCACCATATTAAATCATTTAATCATGGTAAGTTAATATAATTTGATATAAACATCAGATACAATCTGTACCGTACAGGTAAAGAAAACAAGTATCTTTTCTGATCATGTATTACAATTGATTTTTGTTAAAGATATTTATGTTGCGGAAGCCAAATGTATATAGTGTGAATGAGTCACACAACTACTATACCAAAAATATGGCAGCCACTAAATAATAAATAAGACAATAAAGCAACAATAAAAGGAACACCAGAATTTACGAGGTTCGGCTAATTTTGCCTACTCCTCGGACACAACCAATATTTTATTCTACTCCAAAAATATAAGTGAAATAATACTAAAGAGAACAGATACAAATGCCTTAAACAGATGAGAAGACAAATGAGAGGTGTATTTAAATCCTAAACATTAGGCCTCCTTTTATAGGAAAAAGTTTCCTACCGACTACCTAAACCACCGATGTGGGATGAAAATTTTGACATATTCAACAAATTTCCACCTTGGCAAAATTCCACATCTTCAATTTTCTCTCGGTAACAAATTTTGGTTGTATCTTCATCTTCAATCTTCAATGTTCAACAATGTTGATCAAATCCAAACAATGTTGAAATTGACCGCAGTTACCACCTTTGTCAGCATATCAACAGAATTCTCTGTAGTATGAATTTTTTTTACCGAGACTCCACCTTCTTCTATGATTTTTCGTACGAAATGATATCGAACATCAATGTGCTTCGTCCTTGCATGATAAACTTGGTTCTTTGCTAATTGAATAGCACTTTGGCTATCACAAAAAACTGTGATACCTTTTTTACCCACAAAACCTAATGATTCCAAAAAACTTATTTGACATACTATCATTGAGTAGAAATGATATTTGCTCATCCAATCATGGAATAGAAATGATATTTGTTCCTCCAATCAGAAATGAATAACTTTTTCTTTTTAATCTTAATTTATCTAATAAAAATAGCGGACAAATAATCTCACTTTCATCCTTCAGGACCAATAGAACTGAATTTGTTTCTACTTTTGGCTTATCATTTTTTAGGATTTTTGTACTTTAACTGAAAACGCCGCGGTGTTTAAAAGACAGTATCATTGGTATCTTATAGTTAATATCCTTATTTTTTGTAGAACTAAAATTTGTTATATTAAGTTCCATATTAATATTAATATCCTATAACATAGAACTTATTTAAGATATCATAAGAAAACAAAATACGTGAACATCAGTAAATAGGAAGATCGGAGTACCAAAATTAATCATAATGTATTTCTTTACTTTATTTTTTAAATTTTAAATTAAACATTAAAATAGTAAATTAGCATTTTATTCCGAAAAAGGAAACCTTGAATGAGCATTATTTCGAAATTTTGTTATATTTCTATTTTTAAATGGTATTTTAATAAGTTAATAAATAATTGAATAGTTTTACACATTAGCGAACAAAAATTATACTCAACTTTAGAGATTTTTCCGAGATAAGTAATTTTTATAAATCTTGATGTTGGTGTGTTTAATAAGTACAAAAATGTTCCTCTGTGAAAAATGTAAAGTTAACGGATAGAAGTCGCTTAATTTCTTATATCCAGTATACCATTCACATAGTTTTTTTTTATTGATTTTATTAGCAATGGATATGGTAAACTTTTGTTCACTGTACACATTTAGTTCTGTCATTCTCTATCAATATACACTACTAGAAATTCGGCCAAAATTGACCGCGGCCAACCTATCAACTTCGATCGGTTAAAAAATCGACCAAAAAATCGATCGAAGTCGGTCGGTTTTTCAAATTATTTTATTTTTTTTGACTTTTTTGTTTATGAAATCGATCAACTTTGGTATGTTTTTATTAGTGCAAAAATGTGGAAAACTATTTTAGCATCCCGTGAAATTTATTTTTTAAGAAATCGACTCTATTTTTCACATAAAATAAATTAAAACTAAGATTCAAAAAATCGACCGAAATTAGTCGGTTATTTCAGTCAGTCATTTTTTTTTAAAAAACGACCGACTTTGGTCGGTAATTTTATATTTTTAAGAAAATCGGCAGAAATCGGTTGATTATTTTCACGTGAAAATGCAATTAAAGAGTACAAATAAAATAAAATAAAGTTGTAAACCAAAATGTACTAATGACCTAGTGGTAGAATAGTATCATGCTACAATACAAACACTGGTTCGATTCCCAGACGGTGCAGTTTTTAATTGACCGATCCCGAAAACGGTCAGAAATTGAGACCAACTTCAGTCGTCAGCTTAATTTCGATGGAATAAAATAGGCCTGAAATCGGTTGATTTTTCTAATTTTCGACTGATTTAGGTCGGTATTTTTGGATGATTTTAGACGGTTTTCTAATAGTGATATTTCCTTCGTTCTTATCAACATATGGTTTTTGGAGCAGAGAAAAAATTGAGCACTAATGAAAAAATAAGTACAACGCTGTCTCTTTGCATGTTTTTTTTCTCCTAGTTACTCCATTTTCATGTTTTGATATTTTTGGTTGAGCACTTTTCAGTATTAATTAGAACGGACAAGTTTAAAAAGTATAAGATATATTGTTGTTATATAACAGTTCTTATTCATTTGACTATATTAAGGCTAGCTCATATGGTAACTATTTTTAGGTTTGGATATGCAATTACATATAAAAATGACATAATAGTGACTGGCTTGAAGACCGCGAAACTGGCGGTGATCGTAATCCAGTGGTGTTTCTGCTGATATGCTACGAAATTGATGGTGATTCGTTGAACGTGAAGGTTAATTTAGTGGTTGCGGTCACGCTTCAAGAGATTCTTATCTATTTTGTGTTTAATCAAAATCTGTAATTATATATCGTCTAAGGGTGTATTTTGGGCCGGGCTTGTGCCAAACGGGCCGGGCTTTGGGCGGTCCGGGCTAGCGGTCTCCGGCTTCACGGTCCCAATGTGTGTAACCGGCCCATGAGGGTCCTAAGCTCACATGGTCCCGGGCAAAATGGGCCGGGCTCGCGGGCCTAATGTGCTTTTTTCGTTTCGGGCTATTTTTTATTTTAACTTGTTTTATCTAAGACACTTTCTTGTAAACTATATGTATAAACTAATATAAATTGCTATATATAGCTATATAAAT